TAATGCATTCTGATTTTTTAGAACATTGATAGAGTAACTTTCCAAGTTGTGGATCAAGACCAAGTTTTTGATCATTTTTATAAACGTTATGATTTTATTACCATTTTTAATAATAGTTTTAGAATAAAAATTACGTTATTTAAATGTAAAGTTGTATACTTTTGCAACGAACAAACGAATAAATTGAAGTGGCTGTAACTCCATGCGCTTACTTAAGGTTTATTCCACTGGTTGACCACGCTTTCTTATCGGTCGATTCTAGAATTGACGAACATTCGATCGATACACATGCATTACCTAATTCACGTTCGGCCAATTAATCTCACAATGTTTCGCGATACAAGAGTTTCCTGAAACACCAGGGGTTCATTGAATAGTATCGTACGTGGAAATCTTCTTTTCGTCGAGGCAAAGAATTACAGAATGAGTCGTGGCTAGTATCAACAGCTCAGATCAGAGATCCACCGTAACAATTGCTTCTTTGTAAGAACATACATCGTGGATAGAATTATTTTCGCGAAGAATCACCGCCTTCGCGACCTGTCCCAGTTATTAGAGACCAGCCCACATTTTCAATGGGGATTAACAGTGTAGATCAATCGGAAAGACAGGAACAAGGGCAGAGTCAATCTAATTAACAACGAATTTCGTAGCGAGGCTAACGATTCCCCTCTACCATCCGCCCCGAAGATGACGCTAAACGGAATTTCGCAACGACCTCCCACGAATCGTCTCTAAACTAATGTGGGAAAACGTCAAGTCTAATTCGGTCGGGTCTGCTCCGTAAATCATCGGTCGCGTTCACCGTTCCATCTCGATCCCCGCTGCTTCGTTTCCGATATTTCACGTCCGAGCAGATGGTATCGCCGCGGGACGGAACACACGGGCAACCAACAGGTATTCTCCAGTTCCGACACGGCTCAATTTCCGCGAACGACAAAGAAAACAGCACAACACTGGCAGACTAATTGCGGCGGTTTCGTTCTCCTCCGCGGTTAATCAAACCGCGAATTACGTATTTATCCATTTAATTAGCCGTCCGGTACATTGTTGTGGAATTTTCGTGATCCTTGTCTGGTCGATTTATCGTCTGCTCCTGGTTATTTTTGCGTAACGCGTGCTCGTTAAAGCGTTTATCTGACGGTGGATTTTAATTGAACGCGGGGTTCCGCGGTCCGACGAACAACAAACCTGGCTTTCTGGTCGGGCGAAACGAATCTAGGGAGGGAGGGGGAAGCCACCAATGGAGGATTTCGGATTATCGGGACCCAGATCTTGATGAATGAAGACGCTCTCGAGTATATAGACGGAATACTCGTACGCGTATGTCTCTGTGATCGGAACTCGACCATCCACTCTCGGGCCAGATTCCCGCGATTATCCGTCATTCATCTTGCGGTCCCTTCCGGCCCGACGAGCTTCCACGTGCGCGACTCTCGTTCGACAATGTCGAACACGCTTGTAAATTGGCCACGATAATACGCCGATGATTAATATAAGAATAGACCTAAAATTTTATGGAACTTCGTGTCCCAGGAAAATCACGTTGGTTCGAGGACACCTCTACATAAAAGTTTCCGATTTCAGGAACTACGTTTGACACCGTGATAATGCACAACACACACACACACACACACCTGTGACTGCATATAGCTATACATACATACATTATTGCCTTGGTTTCGTCAGTAAGGAATGGAATACTGAAATGGTACGGGGGCTTCTGACGTCCCCGAAGCATGGGACAGAAAATTACATTGCATAGTAGGTCTATTCTAGCTTCTGTTTACTCTGTTTTGATAGGTTCCACAGGGAAACTGCCCCAGTGGTGGGAATAACGCCGTTGCTCGTGTCGCGTTCATCGAGGAATCACTGCATTATGAAAACAATATAACAGTGTATTATAAACTGTTCAATTTTAACAATTACTTTGAAGGTGTGTATGTGAAACATGTGTACACAAAATTGAGATTGCTTAATACAGATATGGACAATAATTTGTTGCTTTCTCTGGTTCTGTTTCTTGTCGTTTACCAGCCCAGGGAATGCTTTCTGTTTCTGTAATATAATGTACATGTTAAGTCTAAACTGGCCTTGCTGTGTCTAGCTATGTACATTATTTTGATTGTTCGGAACAGCCTAATGGAATTTTCACAAAATTTCTCGTAACAATCAACATGTTAAGATACAGTGATAGGAACAATAATAAATCGGTCAAAGCGAATTACATCTCCGCGACGAGAGTTCGTGCCGCTTGGGTCAACGAAGAATATTTCGTTAAGGAGTTAATCGTCGAACGGCGACGGCATAATTAACTCGGCCTCGTGTTTTCCGCGGTGCACGTTTCTTTATTTCCACGCGACGGGCGTAATGGAAACGTGACGATGGCCGGCATGAGATCATGCACCTTGGCTCGCTCGGATCAATTAGAACGAAGATTCCTCCGGATACGGGAGAGACGAGCCGCGCGTAATCAACGTTCATTCACGCTGCCTGCGAAATCGGTTCGTGGAACAATGAGATCACCGTGTCCCGCAGGACTCCGCTGATCTGTCCGTGTTTGCGCACGGTGACTCAATATCCTCCTCCGTAGTAAATCATCGCAGTAACCGGAGTTTCCCGAAAAATTTCGTTGGCCCGTAGATAAACGCGACGGGAAATCTTATCTCTTCGGTCTCGTGCCGTGATCGGGTAAGTACACATGGGCAATTTCACGTCAAAACGTACAGATTTGCGGTCATAGTCACTGATTTTTGTCAAAATTACAGCATTTTGGTGATAATCACGAACAAATTAACTATGTCAAATTTTAGATGTTAAAGATTGACGCTGTTCCTTTTTTACGCTTATTTGTAGGCTTCGCAAGGTACAAAACAGTATTGCGAAATGTGTAAGAAGGGAGAAATGCCGAGCCCCTTCTCACTTAATTAAGATTCAATAATAATCGACCTCTTTCGGGACGACCAGTTATACTGCAGCTTTTCACAATGTATTATTGGAATAAAATTCTGTTCAACTCTAGTTAAAATATATTATACAGTGGGTGATCGGTTAACGAACATAATCCGTTCAAAGAAAATGTTCGTTATCCGATCACCGATTTACCACAGATTTTTATGAGAATTTAATTAATTCGTTCAGGAAATCCAAAAAATAAATATAAATTATTATTAATCCTACGTTTATCGTCCGATTTGTTCGCTGTCCGAACTGTTCGTTAACCGATTACCCACTGTATGAATAAAAAAGAACTTTGTATTAATTTTCCTTCGATACAAGTAGGTATCGATACTTTTAATGTGATACTAAGTAAATGTCGATAATTTTTTTCGATACCGGTTATGAATAAAAGTATCGATACCTTGGCGATATCTGTTTATCCCTAAATTCTTCAGCTTCTGGGTACGACCTACCCCTGCCGACAGAATTATAAAATTCTCCGACGATGAATAACAGGGGATCGAGACGAGGACCGCGCGCGATCTCTCAATCCTTCCCCTGTTCTTCATCGCCGAAGAATTTTCCGCGAATAATGAAGACGTTATCATTCAGACAGAGAGAAAGAGAACGAGCTTTTCCCCCTCCTCTGGTGTCCGTGTCTCGTTCGTGCTCGCGGCGAGACAGCATGAGAAGCGCAGCTCGTGCGACGACCCAAGCGCAATTAACCGATTGCCCGTCGCCGCCGGCTGCGCGACCGTTTGACCGTCATCGCGGCCAATGAATTCGTGTCATGCCAGAAGATGACGGCAGATTAGACCACCGGCCGAATTAAGGGGATGACCGAATGTACCATGGCTTTCCCTCGCTCCGCGCGAATTAATATTAACGAAGAAATTACAGTGCCACGCCAACGTAGGCCGCGTGACCACCTCCCCTCCTTATTCCTCCTCGTCCTCAGCAATCCGCCAGGGCGTTTCAATCTTTCTGACGCGACTCGATTGAAACCACGTGACCGTTTTCGTAAACTACCAGGCTTACGTTACCCGAACGGCGACGACTGGTACACCCTGTTTTCTCGCTCCACGCGGTCTTAATTTAAAACGTTAAATAAACGGTGTTCGCGCGTGGTTGCGTCTTCCAACCGGTCGAAGATCGTCCCTCCTCGCCCACGGACGTGTAAACAGTGGCACGCGCGCGTTCAGTGTTTACACAGTTTCGCGCGCCGCCAAAGATTACCAACGACGACGGCGGCAACATTCGAAAACGGGAACTTCCCTACCCCCGAACCGCGAGAATGAGCGTTCAGAGAGCAACGATATTTTTGTGAGCGTCGAATTTAAACGGGGGACCGAAGCTATGCGACCGGCCAACGCTGTCCGATGGAAATTCCTGACCGCGACGGATAAAAATAACGAATTTTTCGGTGGAATCGCGCGGCTTTCTATCGGGCTTTTAAAAATAGACGCGACTGGGTGGCCCCTTGCGCGATCTATACTCGATTACAAGCTACCGATCCGATGGAATATTGATCACGAAATACCTTACGCTTCTGTATACTGACGTGGAAAATCAGCTTCGGCTAGGGATAAAGTGGCGTAGAGGAAGGTACCTTCTATTACTTGGTCTCGGGAATTACTGAAGTTCATGTAGAATTAACATTTTTATGTTAAATTTACCAAGTAGTAGAACGCCCCTTCCTCTACGTCACTTTTTCCCCTAGCAGAATAAGAGTTCGCTCCTGAGGATACATATACCCTACAATGTAACTAAAAACAATCTCTTATCCCCACGTTACTTTAAATATGAGACTTATTCGAAACTGTGATTTATAATCATCACATTCCAATTTCTTCCGAATGTCTTCTGAATAAAGTTCAATTGGATATTTCCAGTTGAAAAGAAACATCTAATAAAATTTTCACCCTCAAATCGATACTTCAAAAGGGGCGTACAACTCACGAATATATAAACATCGTGCTGATCACCAAAATCGGGTGTGAATCAGAAGACAATCATTAACCGGAATAACATCCAGGAAAACACGTCAAATATTTACTCACGAATATGGCGTTGTAGATTTTGTCGTAGAACGCGATGTGCGTCTTCAGGATCGTTTCCGCGGAGACGATCATCCCGTTCGGGTCCGTCTGAAGGAACGAGGAACCAGGTGTCGCGTACGGATAAAGATCGTTCTTGGTGATCGCCGCGACGAAGGGCGCGAGCACGGCCACGACGGCCACGAGCCGCAAGACGCTGAAACGCGCGCGACGAGTCATTCTCAACGGACTGCCTTCACGCTACTGTCGATCGGCACCGCGGCTGCGACGATGAGTCTTCTTGCCGCCCCCTAATCGCCTTTGCCCGCGCGCTCGTCCTCTCGACCGTCGCTTCTTTCGAACCGACCACGAAACGCCCGCCGTCGTCTCCTCTGCTCTCTCGCTCCGACGATAATTTCGAGCCGCGGGGAACCCCCCACCCCTCGGCCCTATTCGTGTGTAGACTTATCGGCCTATTCGTCGCGAGGGGCCCACGGTTTTCGCGGGACTACGCGACGGCTGTTTATTTTTCCTTTTGGTACCAGTGTTTGATTCCACGACCCATATACCGTCTTCCTCAGGATTATTTTCGTTGAAACGCAAAGGTGCTGTAAAGGAGCTACCCCTTTCGGGCCATTGATCCAGGAAGGGGTTAAAATTCCCCCTGAAAATAATTCTTAGGGTAGTAAAGGTGCATACTCTTGGTTGATTGTTTGGAGCACCTTTCCATTTTCTTAGGTAGATGGAACTGTTCCGTTGATATGTTATACAGGGTGGACTATCAAATATGGTCTGCTTAGATTATTCTACTGCTAGCTGTTCGATCGAACATATTTTTTGGGTGTTTAACAGCAGACGTTATGAATAGAACTAAGCAGGCGTTTGTTAACCGTTTACGCGAGTGTATTGCAGCTGAGGAAACCATTTTGAACATCGTTTTAATTAAAGTTAATGGTATGCTTTTAATATTCCTTTGATGTAGAAGAAAAATAATTATTCGTCTTGATGCTTGCCGAATTCGTCTCAGTGTCAGTTAAAAGATGGACGTAAAAAAAATGTAGATTTATCCATAAAAAAAAAACTGAAGGTAACTTTGAACACTTTGAAAAAAAGGGTTCACAAAAACTTTAGTACAATCATTTTAAAGCTTTCCATGAATCATGTTATAATAGCTGAAAAAAATTTCGATCTGATAACTAGCAGTAGAATAATCTAAGCTGATCACATTTCGTGGACCACCCTGTATAGGTTATCATGTAAATTCTTTTTGAAGTAAGTGAGGAGTAATCCATTCGTGAAAGCCTTGTGTACTCTGTATGAATTGCTGTCTGAAATGTTAGATTCTTCTTTTATATTCTACTTTTCACTTTTTAGAATACGAACAGAAGGGTTCCGTATACTTCAAGAATCTTAAATCATTCTGAAAAGGTGTAATCCGAAATTTTAGGTACCAGAAATTTAACTCTTCTTGTTGGCCATTGCATACAGTGTGGCTTTGTTTACCACAGGAGATCGAGAATATATTGTATATGAAATTACTTATATCTGTAGTTCTATTTCAGCGCGATTGGGGTCACACGGAGATAGTGCAAGGTCACGCGAGAGTAAAAGTTGTTTAAAACAATTACATAATACAATACGTCCGTGCATTTCCTCTAGAATAATACGGAATATACCAGCAAAGGTTACGCCGCATCTATTTTTATTCACAGTGAAGTTATCTGTTATCTGTAGTGCGTAATACAAACGTGTTGGCGTTGAGCGTTCGGCGTCGTTTGACTCAATTGCACCTTCTATCCATTCTAATGCCAAGGTCATCGTGTTACCAGTGTGTAATTTTCAATGCGCGATTTTTTTAAGACTTCAATTCTGCCGGTAATCAGGTTTTATCGGTAACCGCTGCAATTGGGCTTCAAGGTCGGTCCACGGTAGTCATCAAGTGCCCACATCGAACGATCTTATAGACTCGAACGATCCTCGGATCGAAGAATTTTAATCCCCTAATTCGACGCCTCCTCCAATCAGATTTTATTCCGCCGTCAGATTTATGAGCGTACATATATACATTCTTAGATTCTATTTTAATGTTTCATTTAGTCGTTCGCAGATTCAACTAAAATTCATTTTTTAGTGGATAGCTTCATACCTTTTAATGAGCTACAGAAGTACTCGTATCTAAACATTTGTGCACGGAAATAAACAACCTGGAGCTATATTTCATTTAAAATTCTTCCCCAAAAAGTCTGACCCGGTTTCCAAGCTTCCAAAAGTATATCACACTTTACGAACGTTCAAAAACACCCAGGCTCCCAGAGTACCCGGAACGCTCGAGCAGCCACGAAAATCATTGTTCCTCTTCCGCGTCGTTAGCGCGCTTCCGCGCCTCGTTGTCCCGCGACTAATTACACCGGCATCCTTACCTGTGCTCCTTTATTCAATCTCGACAATTTGTTTTATCGCGATTACTCGAGCGCGTGGTCGGGTCGCCGTGCTCATTTCTTCTCCAAATTGGATTACCATAAATTGTCGTAACTCTACAGAGAAGAAACATTCTTCCGACTTTATTAAAATCAGAATATGTTCCCTGGCTCTTTTCGGATTAAATTAAAAGCTTGTTAATCTAGAGAACGAAGAATTGTCATAATCAATGTGACCGTGATCCGCCAAGAAAAGTTCCGATCTTTCCGTTTTCCTCGATCCACGCGCGAGTCCGTTTCGTCGAATGGTGGCCAGACGCCGTCAGAATGGAAATGGACCTACATTCGTCGCGTACACTGTCTGGCGCGACCCTAGAACGTCCCGATAAATTGTCTCAGGAATTCTTAGCGCGGAATCCAGTCTCCCCCCCTCCTTGCCTCGTGCCCCTTTTTGCCGTGTGCCGGGGCAAAACGGGATCCAAGGCAGGAATTCCACGCGGGACACGGAAACACAGCATGGTTGTCCACCGTTGCACGTTGTAAATTGATCTTTATTACAAGAAATTACATGACTAATTTGTACATATAAAATATAAATATGGTACAAGTACTATGATACAGTAGACGCTTGTGTATGTTGTGTGTGTGTGTGTGTGTGTATGGTACGCTGTGTCCTGTATATTTTTGCGCAAAGTGTATGTCTCTCTGTGTGTGTATACGCTTCGTTCAGCGGGATTGCGGAGGTCGGTTATTCCTTAATCGATTAATTAACTATGCCGCTAGTACTCGTTTTAGTCGTTACTAATTTGTATTCACGGTAGACGGAGTGACGCGCGCTCTGCCCACGGCGACGCTTCCAACTCGAACGTAAGTGAAAACGTGGAAGGGCAAGGATCGTAGAAGACGAGGGAAAATTCAGAGGATTCGGTACGCTGTGAAACATCGGAATCGATCCGGGCGACGATGTAACTCGTCCCGGAGCTATGTTCTTCGTGTTATCTTCGGGCAACCGTAGGAACGTATCTCCGGGAGTTGGCCGTCAAGGAATAGAGGAGATCGTCGTTGCTACGAGTAGTTATATTACGAACTCGGAGTCGGTCGCAGGACGAGTCCCAGGGCTGAACTCAATGGAAAATATGATGGAGAAACGGTTAAACATCGCGAAGGACGATCGTTCGAAGAGTGAATATAACGTGGCGTGTGTCAAGAACAATTGCTTTGTTCCGCAACGGACCAACCACATCAGGAAACTTAGCTTGGATCGTTAGTTCCATTAGCTTCGAGGATCGGTTCTCTGGAGCTACGGATGGGGATTGGCGATCTTGCCCAGCTTACCAAACCGTACACGCGATTTCGCACGGTCCTGGCCCGCCGGTGTTAATCAGTCCGAATGCGATCGTGGTCCGCGAAATTAATCGAACCAGATCTCTCGAGGTTCACGTGGACCAATTTATTCAGAATTTACAGGCAACTCGGAACGGTATAAAAAGGAATTAAGCTCGTAGATTGGCAGTGCGAAATCAGCTGGCCAGGACTTGCGTTTCTATCGATCGCGACGATCAGACGATCGCGAGATCGATGGGTGTAAGTACGCCTTGAATACCTACGGTGACTGGTTTTCATCGATATCGATATACCGGCACTCCACGTTCCCCGCGTATCGGAACGCTGGAATCTCTCTATTTCTGCCGCGCATCACCGCCATTCCCGATTTATTTTCATCCCGTCTATTTTCATTCTCTTCGGCTCCTTTCCATCCCCCACCCAGTCCCACACCCACGTCTTCCTGATGCGTGAATTCTCACGTTTAAACCCGTGCACACGTACTCACTCACTCTTTCTCTCTCTTTCTCCCTCTTTGTCACCCTCTTTCTCCCTTTCGTTTCGATCGTCTGTCTCTCTCTTTCGGGTTTATACGTCGTATACACACTCGCTCGTACTCATCTCTTCCTCCACGACTATTGGAGTCCATCATTTCACCAGAGAGCTCTCTCGCGTACCGAACACGAACCATTTACGAATTATCGAATACGTTTACTATCGAAAAGTAATTCTCTACCTCGCGTGTCCTAACAGCCACACTCGCGTTACTTGCCATCTCGTTCATCATGTTCTCTCGTTTCTGTTTCTCTCACTCTCGCGCACGTTCTCGTATTCCCGTCGATGCTCGCTTATCCCCTTTCTCTCGTTATTCCTTTCTTTCTCTCCCCCTCTCTCACTCTAAGTGAATTACAGAGCCCTACGAAGTGCGGTAACTGCTGATAACGATTAAAGCTACGATAATATCTTAAATTAATGTGCGTGCATTTAAATACAATGGTTACGACGCGTTTCGCAAAACTCGTTTCACCTTCGTCCCTCCCCCCCCCTCCCGCCCCTTTTTGTAGTTTATCCTAGATTCTCGTTCTCTCGGAATTTTTTATTTGGCAGTCTGTCAACGGTTCGTGACAATGTCTCCCCGTGCTCGTACGTTCAACCATTAGTCCCTATATATTTCTTTATTCATCTACATTGGTTCGACGTACCGTATGTGTCTGTAAAATTCGACGGAGGCCCATAAAGAATCTCGTCTCCCCTTGAATTTCTCACCTCGTTGTACGTCGATCGAGGATCGAGATCGTTCAAGGCAGACGTATGATTGTACGCAATTTTTATTTTCCTATCATCGTTCCCTTCTCTTTATCCTCTGTCACCATTCGATCAAGAGACAAGCACGGCACATTTGGTATGGCTACTTCCCCATCTCGGTGTTGGTCATCGGGGGGGTTTATAAACACAGCAGACTATACATATATGT